CAAAAGCCTGATTGCTTTTCATGATTAAAGCCTATTTAATATGCAAATGAGAGCAAGCCAGGTGATTAAAAGAGCACTGGGTGGTGGGGCACAAAAAAAGGGAGGGGGGGGGTGAAGGGGAATCATATTCAACATTTGACCTCTTAGGCCGGGGAAGGTCATTTTTCAATTTGGGATTCATTGAACACAAAAGTATCAATTAGGGCGCCTTATCAACATGGCGATTTGAGAACTTTTAATAACATATTGATGAAGGTCACAGCATGTCTCTTGATCAAACAGCAATGTTATTCTGATCAAATATTGATACGGCGGGATCGGAAAGCAGCTGCCGGGAGAAGGGGAGGCGTCAAAACGTAAAGTTACCCGTACGTCTACAAACGACGATCCACTTTCGACATGTACGTCGTGTGCGTCGTGACCCAAAACTACACGCGCGTTTACGTTCGACCACATTTTCTCCCAATGTCGTAATCGAAAATTCCAACATACAGTAAAGAGGGAGGCAACTGGGACCCAAAGCCTTCTGAAAAAGAAAGTCGAGTAAATCCCCATAAAATGGACTTCGCGCTAGCATAATAGCATTTATTTTTAGCGTTGATCTTTCAAAAGTACAATCAATTAGCTCTTTTCAATCACATATCAATCGTGTTTTCATCTGATATTGATCCTTTGATATCTCCCAAATCATCGCACCAAATTTCATAACTGTGACATTGCATCTCGTTGAACACACACTTTCTTAGCCCCCCTCCCAAAAAAAAAAAATCCTACTGTGTTATAGTTTCTCATCGTACAGTAATTTCGCACTTTTGATCGACGAGTGATGACCAGCAGCTCCGTTCATGATGATGGAGAATACGAGATGACTCGTTTACAATCCAACACAACGATTCAGTGATCTGATATTGATCCTTTGATATCTCCCAAATCATCACACTAAATATCACGACCGTGACTTTGCATCTCGTTGAACAGTAATTTCGCACTTTTGATCGACTGCTGATGACACTTCAACTTCCAGGCGCCGGGAGCTCAGCAGCTCCGTTCACGATGATGGAGAATACGAGATGACTCGTGTTGCAAAAACGGTGGTTGTTTGTTTACAATCCAACACAACGATTCAGTCGCGACGTGGACATCTTCACACAAGATGTTCGGCCAGGCACCTCATGGGAGTCAAACTTGGGACGACTTTTTGTATTGCGGCTTGTCTTCTCTCTCGCTTGTTGAAAATTTGACCGCAGTTTGATACGCTTTGAGGCCACCGCTGGTCGAATAGCAGGTGGACTACTTAAGCGCTGCGGCAGTGGTGTCACCATACAAACATTTATGCATCCAATCGGACTTACATCATAGAGGAAAACGCTCCTCAGAACAATGCCGTATTTTTCCGGATAAAATAAGGGCCAAAAGTAAATTTGGTAAAATAAATACGACAACAAATAATAGTGAAAATTCGTAAGTATATAGTAGAGCTGATAAACCCGACGAAGGAAGTTTTATTTTATTATTTTTTTTTTTTGTGGGGGGTTTAATTTTACTGCTTTGTTCTCAACTTACAACCTTTTTATCGTATCCTTGTTTATTTATTATTCCTATTTTTTTTTGTAGCACTCACCACGCCGTCTCAATTTTGACTGCACAAATGGGGGTTCGCTGGAAGAGCCGTTCCTAACATCTTCAAAGCAACATTTTGGCGCGGAGGGGCCCAACAGTGTGGGCAACGCAAGTGGGTCGCCCCCTCCCCCCCCCCTCCTTTCCCAAATGATTAAAAAAAAAAAAAAAGTTTACAGCCCGTCGACGCCAAGTGGACGAAAAGCCGTCGAGAGAGATGTTTGAGGATGTCGCTGTCACCGTCGCGTCTTATGAAATATTCACCCCCCCCCACCCCACCAACCCCCTGATCTCTTTTCAGCGCTTGTCATGATGTGATGGCGTGCCTCAAAAGTGTTGCGAGGGGGTGCGCCGACGGCCGTCCTGGGAGGAGGTTCAAAGCTGGGCCAGGCTCGTCTTAGCCCGCTCCTCTGGTAACATCTTGACACGCCTCATTCTTTACACACACACACACACACACACACACACACACACACACACACACACACACACACACACACACGCACCCGTAATATTAGCAAGGCATCACAAGCCCACACCAGACAGCAAGGCCAGACAGGAGGTTGTAAAAGCAGGTGGGGGGAAAAACAAAAAAGTGGCGAGCGCCGAGGTTAGCGCATGTTCACTGTGCACGCCGTTGGGCAGACGGTGCGAGTTTGTAGCATGAGCCACTAACACTTGACTTCTCAATAACTGGCCTCTCCCCCCCCCCCCCCCCCCACACACACACACACACACACACACACACACACACATTCTCCATTCCGGCAATAACGTGTGATGTAACAATGTGACACTGTATGTACAGTTTGTTACGTGTTTGTTCCTCTCTTCTCAGTTGCCGCCAGAGATCGGCGCACCCCCTTACCGCAACGACACCCCCCCCCCCCAAAAAAAATGTTGGACTAATACAGAACTGTTCTGGATCTCAGGCAGGGATCTAAAGCTGACTTTACGACTTGTTTTAAGGTATACGCCGACTTCTACATCCCGATAGATTGAGCGCACCACCATATCATTGAGCAAACAAAAAACAAACCTGAATGCATATCCTGAATTTTTAGGGCTCCAAGGAAGTCCTTTGACGTGATCTAAAACAACTGTAGTTCAGATGCACGGCTAACTTTTGAAGCTTTGCACCCCTTTTCGCATCCCCACAGAGGTGGTGCGCACCACTTTACCCAGCACCGTTTCAAAGGTTGTCTTGACCAAATGAGCTGCCCTCAAATGTTGAATCCACAGCGCCTCTTCAATGTCACTACCACCGCTATGCTCCTATGAAACCTTTTTTTTTGGGGGGGGGGGTGTCTCAAATTGAATGTGCACCATCATGCAGATTTCGCAAGAATTTATTTTTTTTTACAGACTCATGTCTGCATACAAAAGACGATGACAAGATCACCTTCCTTGGCAGAGGTAATTAATTAGGCGTCACTTGAGATGATTGCTCCTCTACAAATGTTGAGCGGCCAATGTGTCAAAAGTCAACGCTGACCGGTCACTTCATTAGGTACACAGGCGAATGAATCCAATATGGGAAAAAACAAAAACAAACATTGTGTGTGCATCACACTCAGCTCTGTTTCTAAAAATATCACCGTGTGTTTATTTCGCTTATGAATTAATTAGAGAGTGTCTAAAAATAAGACAAGCCGGAATTTCATTATTAAATGATTTCAAGTGGGGGGAAAAAAAAGCGAGTGAATTTTTTTTCTCGACATGTTAAGTGACATCCATTGAGGAGCCGTCGCGCCCTGTTTCTGAAACAAACATTAAAATCGAAAAAGGAGTTTGTCATGCACACACGCAGATGCAACATCGAAGAAAAAAAAAACGCGCTCGCCGTCTTCCACAGGAAGCCCATGTGCGAAGCTTCAGAAAGAGACATTTCACATACGGCGGCGTTGATGCATGTGTGACATGTAGTGGAAAAAATTATTCCAAAAGAAAAAAGCTAATGGTGACAATTGCAGCTGCTTGTTTTTTTTTATTTTTACAACCTTCCAAGACCTCTCAGACATCATATTCAATATGTGCTTTTTGAAATTCCCAATCATATTTTGAGGATCACTTGAAAAATTTCCCCTTGGAGGGATTGAAATCAGATTCATAAAATACAATTACATTTATTCGAATAAAGTTGAATTTCATTATTCATGTCCTGTTTTGCATATATAAATTAATAAATGTAACACGTTTGTCACCACCGCGACCGATTGAATCTCTTGTGCGTGTTTGCGCTGGTGGTAAACATTCAGAATGACGGCCGCGCGTGACAAATTTAACCAGGAGCGCATTTTCAACGTTCCCTTTTCTGACACGAGTGTGACATCACGTCTGCACTAATTGTTTCCGACGTGGAAATTGTAAATTATCCAACCTCCGTAATCCCCCACCCCCCACGCCCCCACCCTGATGGCCATCGCTGACTTGACTTCCCCACCCCTACTGTTAGCCGATGATGCGTCTCCTTCCCCTCAGCAAGTACAAAGCTGACTTTTCATCGATGAAACAGTTTATATTCAATGCTGATTATTTTTAAAGCGCAGGCTGCTGCGTTTAGGGAACGTGGGAGGCGGAGGTGTCCTACTCATCACCTTCTTCCTTACCCTTTCCAATTGGTTTCACCTCCTGCAGGCCTGTGTGGGTGTGCGCGCGTGTGACACAACACACACGCGCGCACACAACACACACACACACACACACACACACACACACACTCTCGAGTCTGGCTAATGAAATCATCTGTGGCTACATTTTAATCCCTCCTGAAGGCCACAGTCAAAATAACAAGGATTCTTTGAAACGCAACTATCTTTCGTACACAGGTGACACACACACACACACACACACACATGCATTCTAAAAAAAAAAAAAAATGAGCCTATCGAAGCAGTTTTCAGTCCCAGCCAACATGTCTCCGCAAAGAAAAATGTCCCCATTACAACGGTGTGATATCAAAGTTTGTACCACAAAGTGTGTGTGTGTGTATGTGCGTGCACGCATGAGCAAGTGAAGTGAGCTCTTCTCACACTTTTCATGTTAACCAGCCAAAATTCCCCACGATTAAAAATGGCCACAAGGCCTGTGCCAGACGAGCATAGAAAGACAAGTCCAAGTGTGTGTGTGTGTGTGTGTGTGTGTGCACAAGTGCATCTATTCCACACACTAAGTCTAAAAGGGACCAAAATGTCTTCAGAACGAACGGTTATGCCACACTAACGTCGAAAGAAACATATGTGCGTGGCGGGGGTATTTTATGATATCCACCAGACAAAATATCCTCACTATAAAATTTTTTTGTGTGTTTTAGAGTAAAACTTGAAAAATGAAAAATGTCCACACAAACAGCAAAAGACAAGTTCAGATGTGTGTCCTCATACCTCCTTTCTCCTGTTTGGGGCAGATCCCTTTGGCCGGAGTCAGCCTTCTGTGGGCATCCTCGTCCCTGCCGGGCGTCACCTGCACGCCCACCTCCACGGGCATTAGAGGAGGCCCCCTCCCCATCTCTAGGGCGTGGCCCCGGGGGGAGATGGGGATGCTAGCGGCGCCGCCCGCCTCACCGGGCTTGACGGAGAAGGAGCCCGGCGCACCCTGTGGCGGCCCGCGGCATAGGCGGCGTTTGTGCTCGATGAAGACCAGGATGTCCCCCAGAGGGAAGTTGGTCTGGCACTGGCCGCATGTCAGCAGGTCGTGCTCCTCGGGGCCCCGGAGGGAGGCGGCGGGGGCCGGCGACGGGGATCTCGCCGTTGCATCATTGGCGTCGGCTGCGTGAGGAAGAAGACAATGCCTGGGGTTTATATTCAGAGATGAGGAAAAGACGACTGCAAAAAAAAAAAAAAAAACAGGTGACAAAAGTCGCAGTGTGTATTTGAATCGAAGAACAAAGGGGATTGGTACAGAGCCCTGTGGTGAATCGCGAAAATCCACAAGTAATTCACACCCAGCCAAATGTTTTGTAGTGGCCTATAGATTCCACAAGATGGCACTTTTTTGTTCAGTTAGACTTCCTTGGTACCAAGATGCCACAAAACGGCGCCACATAAACATTTTTTTCGTTTTTTGGTTTTGTTGTTGTGATTGTCATCTGTGGAGCCAGAAAAAAATTGCAAGCCTATTTGGACTAAGCGTAGATAATACAAATCTGTTTCCAGATATAGGGAGTAAATTTACCAGCCTCACCAATGTCGACGTATATTTTGAAGCTAATGGATTTGCGCTTAAAATAAAAACTTCCTGATAAGAAGAAAAATGTTGGCAGACAGACAACAGGCACTTTTTGCCTTGATTTGCAGTAGTTCACTTGATCCGTTCAAAATTCCTACTTTTTTCCTCCTCACACTTCAGGCCTTATATCGAGATCAAGGGGAGCATCCTAATTGATTTTTAGAGTCAAACGGGCTGTGTGCTAGTCGTTTGTGTTCTATGTCACAAATACACACACACACATACACAAATAAAAAAATCCGGTGGCGAGATTACCCGATAAGAGAAACCGACATCATTGTACCGAGTTGATGGAATACAACAAGCCAGCAGACACCTGCTTGCCTTATCTGCCACACATCGGCATGGATGGCATCCAAAAATACTGCCTAACGCGTGTGTGTGTGTGTGTGTGTGTGTGTGTGTGTGTGTGTGTGTGGGGGGGGCCAGGAAGCTCTTCATCTAACAGTGCATGCTGGGTTTCCGCTGGCGGCCTTCACTTCTTTTGCAGAGCGCGCTCTCACACACACACACACACACACACACACACACACACACACACACACACACACACAAGGCCGCATCCATCCTGTGAGTGCATGCATGCATGTGTGTGGCACAAAGGAAAAAAAATGGGGTGTGTGTGTTTGTGGGTGTGCGTGCATGTGTGCAGGTGAATCAAACGGTGTATTCTCCGCAGACATAAAATCTATAGAGGTCCTGTTACCAGAGTAAATCTCATTCTTCACACATCTGACACGGACATTAATAACCATCACACACACACCCCTATGGCGTCGACACAGTCCCTCCGCTTAACGCAAATCCCGAGTGGATGACCTCAGAAAAAAAAAAAGTCCTTTCCCCTAAGCCGGAAGCTCCGAGGAGGCTCCAGGTGGCATGGAGGAGGAAGGGGTGTCTGGGGCCGGCGTGTACCCAGGGAGAGGTGCTGATGCCCGGGAGAGATGCACAGAACCTCCATCTCCCTTCTCTCCAAACATGACATCTCTAATAATTGCTCAGGCTAAGATAACGACTGTATGTGTGTGTGAGTGTGAGTGTGTTATCAGTGCAGAGATCCTAAACTCCGTTATCTCCCATCTCAAACTGTCGGAGCACCGTCGCTCCTCCAAACTTCGCGCGCCGCTTTTCCATCCCCCAATTTTTCCCAAATGTTTTGCTATTCAGTCACCCCCTTTACGAAAAAAAAAAAAAAAAAGCACCCTCTCACCCCCCACCCCCGCCCCGCATTCGCCTTCGTTCCGCTCCCGACATGGAAGGCTGGCGCGGTGCCAGATCATTTCCATCTCATCATCTTTGGCAACGGCGAAGGAACACAAATGCATATTTACCTGCGGATCACACAGCTTGTGGCCGGCGTTCGTGGAGAAAGTCGCACGTACGCGCCGCTAATAGATGCGCGCCGCGGCCATGTTGCGGGCGTGCACGTGCGCCGTATATTAGAGGGGAAATCTCCGAGCTAACAACACGGCGCGTTGCTATTTGCGGCGGAGACGATGAGACAGGTGGCGAGATGGCGACGGGAGGGAAGCCAGCCATGCAGAGTATTTAGATGATAGAAAAGGGGTTTTGCGCAAAGCGCGGCCCACATAAGAACCGTCGCCGTCCAGATTTTGCCTTTATCAAGGGTGCCGGAATATTTCGTTAGCCTAATAGCGTAATTAGCCAAGTCGCTTTTGAACATTTTCGGAAAACAAGAAAAACTATCAGGAAATTTCAAAGAAAGAGGCTAGTGTTTGTGGCGGAAGCTTTGCGGAAAACACAATTTTTTGGAGTGATATTGTGACAGTTAAAAAAAAAAAAAAACTTGTGTGAAGATGCCATTAGATGCATTCATGTAGCCGTTTTGTCCGAAATTGAGTTCATTTCTTTGGGTATTTTTTTTTTCTCCACATTTTGTCTGTTCTTCATAACAATAATCATCAACATGACTTTGATCAATTAGATGCAAGCTAAAATGCACTTTTATTTATGTGTTAATTTGTTTTATTTTGTTTTTAGATCATGACTGACGTTGACTATGACACCAGGCCCACCTACTTGAGTCGCCTGTGCCGCTTGGACGGAAGGTAGGCCCTTGTTTGTTAGCTGCTAAAGTGTACTCGAGTCGCTGGTACAAGTTCTTATTTGACTCCCGTATTCTTACGCACCAAGTAGATGTTCTCTGAACACAAAATTAAAGCACGCAATTAAATTGTAATTTATGAAAACATAGTGTTGTAACTCGATTAAATAGAAGGTTAAGATTTAAATGGTGCATGTGACATGGCAGTATAAAAAAAAAATTAAAAACATCCATTGCTTGAAAGTGTTTTCATAGCATATAGATGCTATTTGTGAGCCCGTCGATGGTGTTTGGCGTTATATGTTAGCATAAAGCTAGCAGAAGGCAAATTTGGACGTTGATTTGAAATCCTCACATGTATTCATCTTTGTTTGATGTTTAGTTTGACAGCAACTCATCTCAACTGGGAGTGACATTAAACAGCTCAAAGATTTTTTACTTATTTTTTATCTTATCACTATTTTCCAAACTGCTGTGTTCTGTCAGATGAGTTGGGTTGCCTGTCACCATATGCCGCACGTTTCGCAAATTTTTGCACACAAAAAAAAAAAAAATCAGCTGAAGGACATTAAAAAAAGACCGAAGTCAAAGCTCTCTTGTTTCCAAGAACTGCTGCACTCAAGAAAAATATGGATACCTAAAAAAAATAAATAAATCCACATCAGTCACTCAGTATTTGCACGCACGCGCACACATACACGTGCACAGTCGTGACAAACTCGGACATCTCATTCAGGCTGCACCCCTTTCTCACCTGTGTGGAAGCACACATGCAGGCAGCAACTAAGCATGGAATGTTTGCAAAAGGGGAATGTGTGTGTGCGTGCGTGCCCAGAAACACAACGCACACGCACAGGCATGCACACACAAAGGGGTAACAAAAAAAAAAAAGGAAACACGCTCAAGTCTGTAGCGGCGTGAGAGCCTGTCAAACACGCGGTCGAGCCGTGAAACTCAAGCTGCTTGGCCCGCTCTCACTCTTGCTCACACACACACACACAAACACACACACAAATGGGAGTCCAGCAGCCTTAGGGCGCCCCCTATCTGCCAGCGGCGTCACTACTGCTCCCCCCATCTTCACAGAAGCTCAGCCGAGGGTCTCTTGCTAGCTCCTATTAGCATCAGCGCATGAAGAAGATGACACGTGCATGTGATTAATTGCTGTTTTCATTGTATTTTTCCATCAGTTTTCTGAATGTCGCCACTTTTTTTTTCAAAAATCTAGGGAAAAAAAAACATCTTTAAATTAGGTGTAAAAACTTGATAATTTTACATTTGGGCTTTATAATTGGACAGCAACATTTTTTTTAAAATCAATTTCCGAATCAGCATGCCTTTTCATGGCGAAATTAAAAATGCTCCTTCTATGGTTGTTTTTAATGTTTGTAACATTTATTGTGAATGCAGTCATCATTCATTTGAAGAAAGGATTGACAGTGAAAAGACACCAGAACAGAAATCGGGAAACAGCAATTCATAGGGCTGAACGGTTTTCAAAAATAATGTAATTTAATTTAATTTTTTTTTTTTTGCCCCCCCTCACTGTTGCGATTGCGATTGAAAATGCGATTTTTTTTTTTTTCAAGGTTCCCCTCCCATGTATTTTTTAACCAACACAAGCAATTTATTAATCTAAATTACAAGAAACATGATCATGTTTTGTTCTTCCAGCCTTTGGCTTCCGCGAAAATAAAGTTGAACGCAACTCAAATGAAAGAAAAAGACAGTTTCATCCTCGACTCGAATTCAGAGTTGTACACGTCCTCAACACTTTGGCTTCGGCGACGTGACAAAAGTGGACCGCGTTAAGTGTGGTGTCAACACAAGACAATTAAGTCAGATGATAACGACGACAACAAAAAATGCAAACAACATTCGATGACATTGGGGGGGTGTCGATTTGAAAAGCGATTCATGGTTCAGCCGTACAACAGTAAGACGATAACGACTGTAAGTGACGAGACAAAAAATGTTAAGCTGCATGGGGGGTTGGGAAGGCAAAGGTAGCTAATAATTGACTTCTTTAGTTTTAATAATAAGAGTGATTTTTTTTTTCGATTTTTAACCTTATTTGGGGCCCTGGCTTTGTTCCATGAGCGTAATTTGCGCGCCGGCCGAGGTTCTTCAAAGTGAGCTGGAGGGGGTGTTTTGCGAGCTTACATCAATGGCCTTTAATAATTCTCATAAAAAAGCCTAATGGTAGCGATCCGGCCGATATAAACGCTGCCTGGTCGAGAGGAGGGGGGGCAAAAATTCTCTGAGTGGAATTTAAAGGAGAGAGAATTTTGCACAAAACGGGCACGCTGCTCCCCACCCCTGCTTTGTCTTTGATTGCATTTTCCCAGGAAAAAAAACAAAAAAAACACCAAATACGCCCCCAGGGGAGCGTGGGGTGGGATGGGTGTGGAGGGGGCTCCTGTTTATCCCCCCTCCCCAAAAAAAATGATGTCCAATTACAAACAGCATGGTCAAATTTAGCTTGGCTTTATCTTAGTTGGGCTCTCTTTTTTTTTTTTTGTAATTCATTCTTTCGAAAAGTTGAATTAAAAAAAACTTAAGGAGATTTTGGCATCATTTTTGGCTTATTTTTGCGTTTCATTTTGTCTTTTTTTTTTGCTTGCTTATTTTTGTGATTTTTAAATGTTTCTTCTTTTTGTGTGTTTGGTTGTTGCGTCTTGATTTTTTTTTTGTTTTTTTTTGGTGCTTTTTTTTTTTTTGCTTTTATTTTTCTTGACTTCAACATTTCAAGATTATTTTATTGTATGTTCTTATTTCTTCCTTTTATCCAAAACTTTGCATCATTTTTTTCCACGTCACATTTCTCCAACTTTATAAACATTTGCTTTTTTATTTCACTTTTTGCTTTTATCTTCTTATTAGATCCCCACCCCTCCCTGCCCCATTAAATACAAGGAAAGCTCCATTAGTGGAATTTAGAGAAGGAAATTTTATGCTAAACAAAATCGCTTTCCCCTCCTATCCTTATTTCCTCGCTAAAAACACACACACACACACACACACACCCACACACACACACACACACTCACACACAAGTATGCCCACAGGGGCGCTGTGGGTGCGGAATGGG